TAACGAATCAAACTTATTTATTGCCCATGAAAAAATCGAAGTTTTTACTTCAAAAGTAAGCGCTGTGAGGCTACAGAAGTTTTCTCTTCAAAAACATGGTCTAAAGTTATTTAGACAGAACTTACGAGTATTTCATCTCTTAAATATAATCAAAGAAATCCAGTTGGTAAATTTATTTTGTTATCATAATCCCTACAAATTAGAACATGGGTAGACTGTAACTGTTAAGTTACAGGTAAAGAAGCGTGATGATATTCCATGTTTCACTGGAATTTGGCATAATAAAATTTTGTGATGACGCCATCAACATTTTAGGCAGGACTCCATATCAATTTGGGCAGATATAGTGCAATACTAATAATACGAGTAATGTAAAGTTCGGCTAAAAATATTGTGCGTTTAAGACTGTGACTTCCTTACAGGGGATGCCCCATAAGATTCAGTAAATAGACGTACCATATTGAATTAATTTTTAATTGTTACTCTTACAGTAAGGGAGATAAGCGAGATTTACTAAGCCAAATGTGACGAACTCCTAAACATTACCGCAAATTGAGTAGCAATTAAGCCATAACCGCACTATGTCGTTCAAAGAACTACACATACACATAAACTTCCAGAAAAATGAAATGAGCCGCTCTTGATGTGATCAACAAAATAAATTATTTCATTCGTTTTTTTAATCATCCTCTATAAATAATTGTTTGCAGTCTCTTTATTAAATTGAAAAAATGTTATGTTACTTTGATTGAAGTTTTTCCCAAAATCTGGAAGTCTAGGATAAAAAATCAAGGCGAATTTATAAACCACAAGTATAGAAGTATGTATGTTATTTTGTGAAACTTAAATAGTATTTACTATGAAAAATTGAGATGATGTCATCAAATTGTTGCTGCGGCAGAAACATTCTCAAGATCTCCCATATGATTTTTTATGAATTAAATTTAAACGCCACAACAGTGAAAGTAAATCTATTTTAAAAAATGTAGAAACAAAAAGAAACTGACATAATATTCAACAGTGAAACAAGAAATCGAAAATCGATACAAACTACGTTATTCAAATAAATACATAATTACTGACCAGGAAACCGAAAGAATCTAAATGGTATAAATGGAACGAACATTAAAACAAGCAGATGTGAACATTTACAATTTTTATAAAACAAATTTCAACAAAGATCTAATAAGAAGCAGTCCTAAACGATTGCGTCTGATTAACTTTTTGTCGTCTCAGGGATGATCTTATTAGGAAAGATACAATTAAAAATAGTGACATATGAAAAATAAATTCAGTGAACATATGAACAACGCAATATTATCAGCTGAAAAAAAACTTTATTTTCAGTCAACACTCATCAACTTAAAAGGCTACAGGGCTGAATAATGGTGCTACAATAGTAGAAGATAATGACGTGTCATCGCAACGAACGTAACACCAGCCGCAGTAAAAGTATACTGTAAAAATAACGAAATTTAATTACAATGTTCCAACTATTTTAGCAAAATTTTTATAAACATGTCCGAAAAATTAATTAATTAATCTTGTGCTTAAATTTAAGTAACATTTATATTCGTACCTATGTATCATGCAAATTGCAATCTTAAAAGTACATTTGTGTTGCACATATGTAGTTCATTAGTTCATTACACGTATATACTTATTTATAGCATCTAGCTATCGTGGAAATTCCTAATATTGTAAATCTCGAATTATGCAGCTGCAACCTCTTCAGTTCTTTGAATTAGATGTGTGATCATTTCTTCGTAATTGTACTTAGAAACCTTGTTATAATCATTTTGTTTAAGTAAAGGATCCTTATGGTGATTAAACTTAATAAAATAACGCAAGATTACCAATATATTGCCTAAATACACACCACCCAAAAGTTTCAATCAACACTAGCATTTTACTACTCTATAACTAAACCTATCTGAAGTAATGTTCTTTGTGTACCTTTTAAGCAATTGAAGCTAACTGGTTCCCGATAGGCCATTTTCGTAAACATTCTTCAAGACGAATTTCAAATTCTTCGGCTTACGAGGCGTTCAATAAGTAAAAAAGTTTTGCAAGAAATCCCTATTTAAAATCAAAATCAACAATTGTGAAAAACAAAAAATTGACCTACAAAGTTCAAACATTGCCTTGCCCCCTTGCCCCCTTGCATTATTCTCACACAGATATCTGTGACGATAAATTACACAATGTATAAGGTAGATCAGTGGTTCGCAAACTGGGTGCCGCGGATCCCCCAAGAGGGTGCCGCGAAAATTTTATAATGATGTTTGTAAATATAAGCACAGAACCAACTTTAAAAAATAATAATTGATGATCTGATTTTATTAATGTGGTACAACTGTTCAGTAATGGAAAATGTGTTCTGAACATGTTAATTTTCTTCATACTGAAGTAAGATGGCTATCTAAAGGCCGTGTTTTTTCCCGATTTTGGGAATTAAGAAAACAGATATAAACGTTTTTTGAATCAGAAATTATTGAACAATTTTTTGACCTATTAAACTAATATTTTTGAACACTTAAATAAAATATGTACATTCAAGTATGCAAGGTAGAAATGAAAATATTTTAACCTGCAGTGAAAAAATTTTGGCATTAAAAGACAAGCTTAAATTATGAAAAACAAATATTTATAAAACAATCTTAACATCAATTACATATTATACAAACATGTGATAAAGTGTTTTTGATAATAAATTAGTTACAATTAAAACTGTTCTTGGTGGGTGCCGCCAAATTTTGTTTAAAATTTTAGGGTGTCATCAATAATAAAAGTTTGCGAACCACTGAGGTAGATGCATATTGTTTCACACATTCTAAACAGAATTTGCTCCATGTTGTCACTATCGGAGAAATTTTGGTTAGCGATCTATTAGGCTGATAATAATCATCTCAAATTTCACAGCAATCGGTTTAGTAGTTTCCATTAATAAATTGCAAAATTTGTTTGCACAATTTTGATTTTTTTTTAAATATGTATAAGCGGATTAATTAAATTATATGTTGAAGGGTTAGTTATTTTACAGAATTTAAGAATTGATTTTCGTTACCACTGAACCATCTACACGGTACCAAGTACACCTAAAATTCCACAGCAACCCGTTCTGTTTCGGGGATTGTGTGTATAACAAAATCACTATAACGGACTACAAACGACAGCCAGACGGAAATGGGAGACGCGACATTTTTCATATTGTATGAGCCATGAAACGTGAAATTAGTAATTCGTCAAATGGACCTTTGGACCCTTTGCGTTCGTGAACTAAAATGGTAAAGAAATCATATTTTGTGTCAAAATTTAAAAACATTATATTTTTTTGGAGGAATAGTACTCTACTGTTACTTTTTACTGCTGAATTCTCATAAATTTGTAGTTAATATTTAAGCAACCAATGTTTTAGGCTAATAAATCTTAAGTTTTTGCAAAATAGTAATGACGAACTGTGTTCTCTTGTTTTAATAATGACCTAGGCGTTTTATTACTTTACGTCAGTTGAGGCAAAAAAACAAGTTAAAAATCGCAGATTACAATTATTTGGTTTAATCACAGTTTGCTTTGCATACCGAAACATTCTTTGATATTTAAGATTAGACGAACTTCATTTTATACGAAAATTTAATGAAATATGTTCTGACAACAGCTGAAAACCTATGCAAATTTTAGTAAACGTACACAGTTATTAAAAAAAAAATGCGCCAGTGAATCACATTTAAAGTTTTTTTTTTCCTTTTTTTTTGAAACTAGATCATGTTTAACTATTTTTTTGGTTAATTTTACCCTAATAATACATTCGATTCTTACTAGTTATTACTGTACACCTGTATAATCGCGTTGCAGAATCATGCGAACTATAGGCCCTCGGTATGGACTGTGGCTAATAGGAGAAAAAAAAAAAAAAAGTAAAAACAAAACTCTTAAAGACAAGAATAGCTATTACGCGACACGTTTTTCAGTCTTTGTGGGATTTGATGTAAAGTAAATAAATCAACAAATCTAAATTTTCACTACAAGATAGAAATTTACCGAGTGCAAAATTTTCACCAGTACAAAATTCTTCTAAAACTCAATTTACCATCCGAAACGCCAATAAAAGATTACCTTTCTCTAACGTAAAAATTTTCTTCAGTGGAAACTTCAATATCTTCTACAACGGCCATAAAGATCGACACTGTTTATAACAGAACTAGTACCTAAATATTTGCACTTTAATAAAAAATACGTTTCTGCAATGTATTAATCTCCGAGGATTGTACAGGCTATTGTTAAAGTTGACCACCTATTGTGGTGAAATATTTGTGGTATTTTGTGTTTCTATGGTATATCATGTTTAATATCTTGATTCCTTCCGATGAGTTTATTTTTGCACCAAAAACTTTGGAAAAAGGAAATAACTGCGTTTCTAGCGCACTAAAGTTTAAAAATTTAAAACGTGCCTGCTTTCGATAAAATACTATTAATACTAATGCAGTTTGTTAAGATGTAGTTTTTTACTTATGACCATTAATTGAGTTTACAATATATTTGATTAAACGAGTTACGGAGATATAAATCTGCAGTAAAATAACGGATATAGGTGTTTACATACATACAGTGCAATAACGGACAATCATTTTTTTGCTTTAAACTGTCCTATTACCAACATGGCTGTTTGGAACAATCATTTTTATACATAATAGCAACATTTGGGTAAACAAATTACTGTAAACGTAAAAAGAACACGTGTTGTGGTGGCATTATTTCACAAATATATTTTCTATACTAGGAGGCTATGTCTAAACTTGTTACCGACGGTTCCCCAATAAACCGTTGCAATTTAGTAATGGGATGTCTACATTTACTCCACTAAACTGTTAATGAAAATGTTACTTTCGTTAATAATAACAACAATAAATTATATTTCCACGTCACATCACACGAAAATGCACTTTTATACCTTCAGCTTGAAACTGCGACGTTTCTAGAATGCGAAAGACAAAACTTACATGTAAGGGTAGGTCCAATATCCGAAAATCAATATGCCCAAAAACACTTCTGCATATTCTTGCAACAATAACAAACTCCACACACGAACTTCCGCACTAAACAGAAAACACTTAACATCAAACAGGATCACATCTTCCTACTTTTCCTTGATTGAACTAAGAAATTCTGAATAAAATAACAGACACACGAATAACCACACTGGGACTTGTAGGAACCATTAAATACACTTTAACTGTTAGATTGAAGTAAACTGGTGTCGTTTTTCGCGTTCGCGGTTTAAAAGTCGTTTGTTTTATTTTTTTATAGTACACCGGTTACAAGAATTTGATTGTTTGGCAATATAATTCCTTCCCTATCACATTGATGGCGTTGGCTCACTGTTCACTGTAGTCGATGCAAGAGGACAGCAAAGGAATCGGTATGCTAAGCCTTCCTCGGACGGGTCCGGAAGTGTTCGGAACGAGATCGGAATATTTTACGAACAAGATGCGTTTAATTTTACTGACAACAGGATTTTCAGATACACAAGCACTCAGTCCATTAGTATCTTTAAATTCTATCTAATCTACGCAGGCATATTATGTAGATAGTTACATAGGTGACTTATTATATTACTAGTAGTACTCACAATAGTAATAATAGTGGGATTACAGATCCCGTCAACCCCATCAAACCAGCGCTGGATTATATACGAGGCGCATGAGGCGCGCGCCTCAGGGCCCGGGGAGACAAGGGCCCGACAGCAAGCGAACAACAATAACTTAAGTTCAAATTAATGCTTAATAATTTAGGTTCGCTAATTCATTATTTTAGGTTGTTTTTGGTTTTTGTTGAGAGGTTTGTGTTTATTTTATATTACAGGAAAGACAGGAAATATTTTTTTGTTGTTTTTATGAAAAATATATTTTATTCTGATATTATATTTAGTTTGTTGTTTTCTACACGTAAGTCATGTTAAAAAATTTGACAACAATCGACCCAGTAGTTTCGGAGATTATCTGTCTAATAAAAATCCGTGACGGCAGATAGACAGACAGACAGACGGAAAAGAGAGACCTATTTCTTCGTATTCTAGGGGTTATGAAAGGTCGAGAAAACGTAAGAGTAGAGAGTCGATCGACGGACAATACTTCTTTCGCTTACGCTCGGAAAGTAAAAATTAAAACTAATAATGTCAAGATGAAAGGGGCCAGGGGCCCAGTATTTTTTGCGCCTCAGGCCCGAAGATTCTTTGATCCGGCCCTGCATCAAACGGAAACGCACTGTTACTTTTACGAAATTCAAAATAAAATTATTCGGAAAATGGTAAAAAAAGGCAACCCAGACAATAAATTAAAATTTTTTGTCACAACTTGTGAAAGCTATTGTAAGACGATTCTTGGCCAGATATCAGCTTTAGCGCAAATTATTATCAACAAATATTATTATTATTATTAAGGAAGTGATCGGGCAGAGGCTACGCCTGTTAGCCTGCGAGAAACTAACTTAATCTCGAATATAACTAAGGTTAAGGATTGTTTGTCGCACAATATGTATCATATTTCGATTTGAAACTTACAATAGATGAGGCTAGCACTATATCCTTGGATAACGCGTTCCAAGTGTCAAATACCCTATTCGTTAAAAATTTTTGGCGAGCTGAAGTGCAAAACTTCAACTTACGCAATTTTAGAGCATGCCCTCTGGTGCGGTCTGAGGTATTAAGAGGGAAGAGATGCCTCACTGGGGAAAAACTATTACCAAGGCCTGATAAATAATGATTGGATCCCCTCGTTTGCGCCTGTCTGAAAAAGGGCAGAGATGCATTAGTCTAAGCCTTTCGCGGTACGGAGGCCGAATTTTGCCGAACGGAAATCTGGTTCCTCGACGCTGAATGGATTCAAGCACAAAATGTCTTTTTGACGTATGGGAGACCAGACACCATTAGCAAACTCTAGCAACGGCCGCACATATGTTTTGAAAAGTTTAGAAAAGACTAATGGACTAGCTGTGGAAAATGATTTGCTAAGAAGAAAGAGCATTTTATTTGCTTTACTTGTTGGACATGTTCAGTCCAGGACAAATTGGAGGTGACAACAACACCCAAATCAACGTGCGAATCTGTACATGAAAGAGGTAAGTTGTCAATGGAATAAACGTGTTTTATTCCCAAGGTGCAGGACTGCTGTAAAGCTTGATGTCATCTGCAAATATGACAAAAGGCAAGGTTATGGCATTCTTGATGTCGGCAGTATAAGCGACAAAAAGTAGCGGGCCGAGCACTGGGGCACCCCACTCACAACATCGACAGATCTACTAAGTCCATCACCGACTTTGACTCGAAATGTTCAATTGCTCAGAAAAGAATCTATCCACCCAAGAAGGTTTCCTCGTGTACTAAGATGTTGCAATTTGTGCAGAAGCCTGCGTTTAGGAACCTTGTCAAAAGCTTTTGAAAAATCGAGTTATAAAATATCGACGGGGCGACCCAGGGCAATGTCGCTAGTCCGATCTGACAAACAGCACAAAAGGTTAGATTGAATAGATTTCCCAGATAAGAATCCATGCTGATCAGGTGAAATTAGGTTATAATTGACAAGAAACTTGACTAAATGATCACAGATAATGGATTCCATGACTCTGACCACGAGCGGTGTCAAACTCACAGGCCTATTGTTCGATGCATCAAACTTATCACCCTTGTTCTTGTAAATTGGTTTGACGAACGCCGTTGTCGATTCGGAGGGAAATCTAGATTGCAGGAATGATTGCTCCAGTAGAATAGAAAGCGGAATGGAAAGAGAGAGAAAGAGGCTGCACAGTTCTTTAAAACGCAGGTGGAAATAAGATCAGGATCTGGAGATTTAGTGATTTTCAACTTTCTGAGCTTATCTAACACCCCGTCCGCAGAGAACTTTATATCAGTGATACTATGCGAATTATAAACGATAGATAAATTAGGCATCCCAGAAAGAGGTTCCAGAATGTATACCTACTTTGGCAAGTCGACAAATATATCGGTAACGGTGTAACTGTTATCAATAACCATGCCGGACACATCTTTGACCTTAACCGTTTTAACTGGACCTGATAAAGCAGTGCGAATATGCTTAAAAAGAGTTTTGTGTCCTTATCCTCTGCAATACGCTTCTCATAAACAAGTCTAGACTCTCTGATGAAGATATTTTAAATGTAGAAATAGTAGTGTATTTTGTGACCGTACCGGATAGTGTTGTTTTAAAGCAATCCCAATTGTTGCTTATCGACAAATCCGAAAGAAGAAATTTCCAGTCTAGTCGCCTAAGTGCTTATTCAGTGCTTCAAAATCTATCATCTTCCGTTCAAGCGTGATATATAGTTCTCCTAAGACGTGTGTAACAAACGTGTAAATCCATCATTAGAACTAAATATTCTAAGTTCGAGATTGAACAGCAAATCCACCAAAAGTTGAGAGGAAGGAGAATAGGAACGACTGCCACTAATGGGCCAATCCACATCTGGAAGGTTTAAATCTCCAAAAATATACACTTTGTCCTATGTATTCGGTATATTGCTAATCTAGTTGAAAGGTGTTCTATCGTCGTTGAAAAGAGATGATGATGGTCTATGCACATCCTAGAGCAAAAGTTGTGCTGCTGTTGGTCACTTTTAAGAAAAGAGAATCAATACCACCGGTGTGGACAGCAAGGGACGTAACCGTGAAATTCTCATGGACTAGATCACAAATGTAGGGACAGACACCACTACCCCTTGTTCCAACCCGATCTGATCTGAAAATGATATAGCCATCGAGAGAAATTAACGCATCAGTTATAAAAGAAGTCAACATTTCGGACAATATTATAACCGTAGTGTAGGCAACAGTGCTGAGAAAGTAATCCGACAAAGAGTTATTATCCATGAGATGATTAAAATTGGGCAAGAAGAAAAAGAGAAAAAGGCGTTGATGCTATTTAATTAACACACAAGTCCGTTTAGTTGTCAATAACAACCGATTCGTCTTGCAAAGCTGACAAATCGGGAACCAGATCGTCCGCATTTTTCTCTTTCCCTATTTCCCTATTGCTTTTTTAATTTTTCTCTGTACCTTCTTACGTATATTTTTTGTTTTCTTTTTATCAATGATTGGATAAACGTCGTACAATAAAATAAGCACCCAATTATAGTTATTTTTGTTACAAGTACCTAAAACATAGTTTTTTGGGACGAATTTTGCTGTTTCCGGACGAGCCGAAGGCGAGTCCGGAATAGCAAATGAGTCCCAAAAAACGTTTTAGGTACGTGTTACAAACAATATTTTTTTGTTCAAGCTCCCAAAACACCTTAAAAACCATTTATAAAAACGACTAATTTTGACAAACGAAGCAAATATTTATTGAAAAGTGGGCTAGTGGGCTGCCACCATAGTAACTACAGTGTTTTGTAAACACGAAAAAAACTGACATTTTTTTGCACAAAATGCAGAATCCCGCACATATTACGGAAAAAGCAAAAGAAATCGTACTGGATTTACTGCCAGCGAAGTCTCAGCAAATGTACGAAAAGGAATATCAAATATTCCTACGATGGAAAGAAGAAAAAAAAATTGTAGTAGTAGATGAAGATGTAATGTTAAATTATCTTCTTGAAAAGGTAAGTGCCGCTTTTATATTCAATTTTTATAAGCCTTACACATGATTATCGTGATAATTTCCTTATTTTGTTACAGTCACAAGAAGTAAAACCATCTACTCTCTGGTCAAAATATTCAATGATTAAAGCTGTCTTGTCTGTCAAAGAAAATATTGAAATAAACAAGTTTTCCAGAGTCATTGCGTTTTTAAAGAGAAATTCAGTAGGACACGAGCCCACGAAGTCAAAAGTTTTGACACGTCAAGAAATTGACACATTTTTGACAAATGCAGACGATATGAAATATTTATTAATAAAGGTAAGTTTAAAAAATATTCTATGTATCAGATAGATTTATTTTTCATTTTGTAGGTTGCCCTTCTTTTTGGTGTGTGTGGTGCATGTAGGCGTGAGGAGCTACATTCACTAAAAATTCAAGATATTGTCCAAAAAGACGAAGAATGTCTAATTATAACAATTCCTGATACTAAGAGCAACATTAAGAGAGTCTTTCCAGTGATAGCTAAAGGCAAAGCTGTCAATGGCCTGGAATTATACCAGAAGTTTTTACGATTACGGCCCGAGACAGTTCAACACGATTATTTTTTCATTTGTTATCTGGAAAAATGGAAAATGCACTGTCCAATGTGTAGGAATTCATTCTTTTGCGAAAATTGCCCTCGGTTGTTGCTGAATTTCTTAACCTGCCCAATCCCAAGGAATATACAGGGCATTGCTTCCGACGAAGTTCTGCATCTCTGGCAGCTGATAGTGATGTTGATTTAATCTCCCTGAAACAGCTAG